AATTGTTAGTACAAATAAGATTTGGATAAGTTTTATCTCTTGATAGAGTCCAGATCCAAATCAAATTTGGATAATCTCCTAATTTAATTGGGAGAGTGCTCCATAAGGAGATAAAAGAAAAAAAAGGGCGAATTAAACTAAAATACCACATTTTCTTGTTCTTTCTTCTTCTCTTTTGTCTTCCAAGAAACCCTATCACGACCTAAGCTTTGAAGGACTGATAGAGAATAATTTTCCTTTGATTTTTGCAAGAAAAAATTAGAGGAGTTTCAGGTTCACCTTCCCTAGTTCGATCCAAGCAGTTGGGTTGTAGTTTTGCTGAAAACTATGTTGCTGAATCAGCTTCACCTATACACTATGCCATATTCAATGGAGGCTAGTTTTGGACTGATTTGGGTGTGAACTTCCACATTGGAATTTGCATTAGTGATATCCATATTAGGTATAAATCTCCATCTTTGTTTGATTTCAAATCTAGTCCGGTTTAGTGCAAGACTAATTGGAAAAAGTGCAGTTTTTCAAAACATAGGGAATTCAATTCCTAGAAGGATAAGAAATTTTTTAATTTTTGTCCAACCATCTAACATGGTTCAGCCACCCATATGTTGGATCCTAACCCTTTCAACAGTGGTATTAGAGCACTAGGTTTAGCCCTTGGACTGAACTAAACCAGATTTGAACCAAAACTCAAATTGACAAGAACTTGTCTAGTCGATTTGTGCGATTAGTAGAAATCTCTGAGAATTCAGTTCTCAAAGTGGGCCAATAATCTGAAGTTTTTATAGATGTATTATAAAATTGTTCTATTATGGATTCTTGAAATCTTAGGCTGAAAGTGTGATGAAGATCGAACTCTTGATGGTGGCAAGTTTTGTGCACACCGAATTGATTAATTTGATTATGTGATCTGTAATTAATTTTTTTCCTTTTTAAAAAAGAATGTATTAGGTTTTTCTAATATAAGCAATAGAAATTAGGGTTTTTCAATTTTTTTTACGTTAGAAAAATAGATGGAGATTGCAGAGAAGACAAAAATTGCAAATGTTGATCGATCTACAAATTGCAGTTTCGTAAGGATGCAATTTTATCTGGATTGGATTCAGACCATCACACTATCAGTCCTAGCCATTTATTTCTGATTATCTGCTATTTATTTACTGATTTGATTGTGAATCATAACTAAGAATTTCAGATCATTACCTATGTGAATTGATGCATGTTTTGGACACCAAACCCTAGGCCAACCTGACCTAGTTTTGGTCTGATCTTGTTGGGCTGAACCTATGGTTCTTTAGGGACTAATCACAACCCCTTGGATTGTTGTTTAAGTGACCCAAAATCAATCTAAGCCAGGTGTTTGATGGCCCATTGCATGGACCAATTTGACCCATACTTGAAAACCCCTTTATGTTAAATTAAAGTAAGACTAGCCCATTTCAGCATGGACTGAATGGATGCCTTTCGTTCATGAGACATAAGTGGTTGGCCCATGTATTGACTTATGTGGCTCTCCACGATCATAATTGATGAATGTACATCATTGTCATGATGCCCATAAATCATTATATGATCTCCTTTTCTAATGAGCCCCCTCAATAGCCCATTATGACTTAAATCTAACATAATGATTAATATACACGTTTTCTCATTATTCATATAAGTGCAATGAGATAGGGAATATGGTCAAATCATTCATCATCCATTCAGAGTTACCCATATCCTTTTAGGGGCATGCATTGGAGATATTGGAATCCTACCATACCACCGATTCCACTGTTGTGTGACAATACTGGATCAATGGAAGATTGTTAGTAGAAGGGACATCTAGATTCAAAATGTAGCATCAATAGAGAATGTGGTAGACCCTTTGATTAAGCCACTGACACAAAAAAAAAATGTTTGAGAAACACATGGACAGTATGAGATTAAGGCTTGTACTTGATTGAACCTAAGTGTAAGTGGGAGTTGCTAAACAATGTATGCCCTAGCTCTAATCAAACTAATGTACAGATACATTTATTGTCAATGAATAAAAGTACATTATTATTTCATATTGATATTGGTATGTTTTTGTAAAATTACCCATTAAACTGGAAACTTAAGATTTGTATTAGTTTAGAATTTTCTCAGCCATTGGATAGACTTAAAGAGTTTATCCTGCCAGACTAACACTGATATGAGCATCCAAAGAAGTTAGGGCAACTTGTCTCAACTGCTAGGGTTATACACAAAGTACATGCAATGTGTGTTTGGATGAATCATTGAACCCAGACCATTTTCCAATTATGCCCTAGACCTCGAAGATTGATGGGCAAAACTAGTTAATTACACATAAACCCTAGGTTGTCTTTAATATGTCATTCAGTGAGATTCATCAAGGGTCAAAACCTGGGTATGTTTGAGCAGTCTAAGAATTCATCTGAGTGGGTGATCATAGTGATATGATCGATCCCTTTGTCGGACAAAGTGAATGATAAGTCTTACACTCTCTCTGATAAAAACTTAAACTGCCAACAATGGATTTCAACTGTGTTTGAGATTTGATTTTGCAAAAATATACTTTTTTCGACTAAGTGATGTAGGCGCATATGGAAAGGCCTCGGCTTGTGCCACATGGCATCGGCCAAATGAGATCCTGGTCGTTCATCTCTAACTACCTCCAACCACTCCATGGCAAGGTCAAGTATAAAAGGGGGTGCCTAACTCAAGGTAAATCCATCTTGCTCACTCTTGCTCTCTTGCATTACTGCTCTCGAGAGACCTTGTCTCAAGCCTGGTCTGACCTCACTTTAAGTGCCTGATTAATTTGACCATCGAAGTCTTCGCCCCTGAGATAACACCTGGGGCCTCTAATGTGTTCTCTTCCTTGCTCTCAGGTTGGACTCATCAGCCTCGGACATAAGCGGAGTTACCTTGTTGCCCTCAGCCCCATCCTTGACAGCAACAAAACTTTAGACCAACTAGGGAAAAAAAGATGCCATTAATGGGAAATCCTTTTCTTCTTCAATCTTCAATGAAGGATTATTTGCATGGAAAGCTTGTGTTTGCTTGTCCCAGATCTACAACCTATAACTGCTAGATCTGCAACTTATAACTATTATTCCCCAATCTGCAACCTTTACATTGTAAATGTGAAGAAAGGCAAGATACTTGACTGGCTCTTAATCATACGATTAAAGAACTCAGAATGACCCAGCTTGGCAGAGGTCCGATGTGGCTTTTTGACATCGGAAGCTTGATTATAAGTGTGGACTCCGTCCAACGTTAAAAAATATTACTGTTAGAGCAACCCAAACAATAACAAGATAAATTTCGATTTAGTCTCGCATGGACCAATTCAGTCCGTTGGGTAAGGGACAAGTGTCCCACTAGGTAGGATCATATGCCCCAGATTTCACAATTAGCCAAATTATTGGCCACATCAAGCATGTGTTATGCTGACATGGCAATGGTTTGTTCAGTGCAAAAAAATGTAAGACATGCAGTAAACTGATAACAGACACATAAAATAGAGTAAAGATGGGGCATGATTATTTTTCATGTTACAAGCTACTCAATTTTTGTATGTTATGGGGTTGATTTTTCATTCTAAAAAGAATATGTCTCATAGCAAGAATTTTATAACCAAATACTCTAATGTTATTCATTCTTACATACTCTTGCCTAGAATGAACAATAATTAAAAAAATAAAGCCGACAACAGTGAATCAAACATGACCTTAGCAAAGTAGACTTGGCAAGTTCATTGATGAATCAAAAAAATGTCCATCAACTTTGGGATTCCATCAAAGCAAATTTTCGGTTGGTTTAGGATTTGTTCAATTAAAGGTTTTGGATGAAACTGAATATATAAATTAAGAATTTTCAATGAAGACTATAATAAATCTTTTGAGAAGAAAAAAATAAATTCAAAGATAATTTTATCATTTTAGGTAAAAATCAGTAGTTTTGTTTAAAAAGCGATGATTTTAGGCTAAAACAGAACTAGCTATCTGATCGATTCTCCACTCAACTAGTCTGATCGTCCAATTTGATCAGATTTTCAAAACCATGGCCACCAATAAAATGCTGCCAACACAGTTTCAATTAGCCACTGCAACCGCACATGGGAAACATCCATACACGATCGGCACCGTGTGTTGATAGCTGATCCGAACTCTCCACACCGCTTGTGTATTGGAGTTGGAATCTCCTGCCACCGAAACATATTTCAACCCCTATCAATTCGATCTAACACCGCACATCTCACTATGAAATTCGATGCACCGTAAAAGTGAGACCCGCCAGAAAATGTTGATAGGCTGTTAGAATGCATTCTCTTGACAGGTGATCGGGACTTCGTGCTTTAACAACACCGCCCGTGCATGTTACGGGGAGATATTCCCAATTCACGGGAGGGATGAGCAGTGGGGCGCCAGAGGGGCTCTCTCGTGGCGAGACTATCCCGTGTCCGTAAGATATTGACAAACTGACTGACGGACCAATTTGGTGCGACCAGTGGCCACCGTCGGTCTCGGCTTTGTCCGTCAAACGCCGGTGTTCAACGAAAAAGACAAAATAATTCGTCAAATTGGTGTTAGATCAAAATTTCACTGGGTGGTCTCGGATTTGTCCTGGTGTGGTCGCAGGAAACGTAATCTCATCCCTAGTAGAGCGCACTGTGAATTCCAAACTTCTTCGTTTCCCCTTCAGTTCCCCGAGGAAAATCCATGGGTGCTGCTGAGACTATGGCTATCATAGCAATCTTTGCCACTCCGATCTTACAGATCACATGTGATCGGCTGGCTTCTTGTTTGAGGAAAAGGAAGAGAAGCGAAATGGATGACAACGAGCTGGACAAGTTGAAGGTGAAGTTGCTTAAGATTAGGAGAACGATCCAAAATGCAAATAGCGAGCAACTCTTTGATGAGGTGTTGCAGCCTTGGATTAGAGCTCTCAATAGTGCAGCCTACGAAGCACACGACTTACTGGAAGACTATGAATCGCAGCGACAGGTATGCATAGATAGAATAAAGAAGATTCATGGAAAATTAGATAAAATTGACCAGGAAATAGATCATCTCCACTCCACGGATACCAAACATCTTATGATAAAGAGACCGGAAACAAGTTCCTTCCTCGATGAATGCTCTGTTCATGGCCGGAAGGAAGAGAAGAAAAAAATAATTGACTTATTATTGTCATCTGATCAAAAATCAAATACGGATAATGTTTCTATAATTTCAGTAGTTGGTATGCCGGGGATTGGAAAGACAACCCTCGCTCAGATTATCTACAATGATGAAAAGGTATGTAGATGGTTTCAAATAAGAGCATGGGTGTCTGTGGACAGAGGCTTTAGTCTCAAAAAACAAATAAAGTCGATAATATAGTCTATAGAGTCCACCCGCAGTTCCCCAAACGAAAGGCCGGCCGTTCGGTCCTCCGTAAACATCAACAGGGATTTAGATGTACTTCTATATGAACTTAAGCAACTGATGTCCGAAACGAAATTCTTTATTGTTCTAGACGGCATCTTGGAAATAAATGAGGATGATTGGAATCCATTAAAAGCTGCTTTGAGAGATGGAGTTAGGGGAAGCAAAATTCTAATAACCACCCAGAATCAATATGTAGCTAAGATTACGGGCAGTATTTATACCTTGAGTTTAGATTGTTTGTCCAATGATGATTGTCGGTCATTGTTTGAAGAAAAAGCATTTCCATGTGGAAGGTCATGTGGGAACTTGGAAGAAATTCTTGAGAAAGTTGATACTAAGTGCAGAGGTGTGCCCTTGGTAGCTAGGACCCTTGGGCACTTCTTTAACTCCAAAACTTACAGGCATGACTGGGATGCTATATTGGAAAGTGATCTTTGGTCAATACTTGGAGTCAATAATGACATCTTTAGAGCTCTGTCATCAAGCTATCTTAAACTCCCTACATGTTTGAAGCAGTTGCTTGCTTACAGCTCCATAATTCCCAAAGGCCATAAATTTGACAAGGATAAATTAGTCCATTTATGGATGGCAGAAGGTTTTATTAAGCCAGAGGGGTTTGTTCAACAACAAGGGTCCATAGGAATAGAAAATCTGGGATATGACTACTTCAATGATTTGGCCTCTAGGTCTTTCATTCAATGTACAGATACAAACCAGTCATCAAATGAAGGCTCCGATAACCAGTTAGAATATGAAATGCATCATGTCGTCCATGATTTTGCATACTTCATCTCCCAATATAACTGTTTGAAAATGGAGAATTTGGAACAGCTAGAAAGGCTCTCTTCAGATATCCGTCATTTGTCACTTCTTTGTAAAAATAGACGTGAAATGGCATTACAGGCCATCAATGAAGTGGGAAACATAAGAACAATCCTCCGGCGATGTCAGCATACTCCTGTCATTCATGAAGTCTACTCTCTAGATAGAGGGTTCGAGAACTTGCGTGTATTAGACTTAAGTGATACTAGCATCAATGCTTTGCCAGAATTTATTGGTTGTTTAAAACAACTTCTGCATCTTGATCTATCTCGTACTTACATTTCTTCCTGCAAAGAAATCTGTAGACTTTCTCGTTTGCAATGCTTGAAACTAATGGAATGTCCAGAACTTAGGACCTTGCCAGAAATGGAGGAATTGACCAGCCTAAGACATCTTCATCTGGACCAAACTCCACTACTTGACATGCCACGAAATATTGGAAGGATAACCAGTCTTGAGACGCTTTCCCACTTCATTGTTGGGTCAGAGGAGGAAAACAAGATTGGAGAGTTGAAGGGGATGGCAGCATTTAAAGGATCCCTGCACATTTCAAAGCTTGAGCATGTGAATAATGCTGAGGAAGCTAGTGATGCTGCACTGGTAAAAAAAGAACTTCGGGAGTTAACCTTGGAGTGGAGTGAGCGACAAAATTACCAAAGTCCTAATGTTGCAGATGAAGTCCTTGATAATCTCCAACCTTATGAGAAAATCAAAGAATTACATATATTGGGTTTTGGTGGTAGCAGGCCTCCCACTTGGATGGTCCAGCCAGATTTTTCCAATCTTCTCACAGTTTTCCTTCACGGGTTCAAAAACTGCAAGTTCCTTCCACCTCTTGGGCAGCTCCCCTATCTTCAGTCACTCGGCATAAGTAAAATGGACTTTGTGACAGAAATGGGTGCTTACTTTGGTAAAAGGCGAAATAGAAATGGAAGGGAGGTTCCAGCATTTCCTTCCTTGTTGATGCTTAAATTTGAAGATATGCCTCGTTGGAAGAGATGGGATGGTGTTAAGGAGGATGATTTCCCTCGACTTGTTAAACTTACCATCACCAAATGCCCTGTGTTAGAGGGTCTTCCTACACTCAAATTGAAGGATTGTATGAAAGCCATGATACTCTGTGGGATAGAAGGGCTGAAATTCTGAATGGTATGACTACTAACTTTCTAATACAATTGTTTCTTCTCTACTTTGGAGTTTCTATTTTTCTTAATTTCCCTTTCTATTTCTCTTTGAAGCAACCAAATCTATGTGTATTAGGTGAATCCAGGACAAACAATTTGCAATACCTGCATGGATTTTACCCAGCATGAACATAATATTGCATTTAAACTCTGCCACTAGTCACAAAAGTCAAGGGCTTGGAAGGCAAGTCATTAACTCTCAAACCACATTTGGAAGAGGGCCTTAGATGGCACTTCCATTCCCCTCTCATTCAAAACTAAGATACCCATAGTCCAGTGGACTTCCCTTTTCATCTTGGAGCCTTGGACTCCTTGTGGTCTATCACACACTTAATGACCATAGAAAGCAATCTTTTTTTTTTTCTTTTTCCAAATCTGAGTAATAATAGGAAATTAACGGTTCTTCTAAATCTTCTGTAAGTCATGTTTAGAATAGAGTGAACTGACAACTATGCATTTCTCAACAATTCAGGCTTCTTTTCCAATTTAAACCAAACACCCGGAAATTTGGCATAATGAATATCATTTCCAAAAGAAATGATTCATCTTTCTCTCTTTTCCTAGAAACCAGATGAAATGAATATCATGTGACTCTCAATCCTGTTGCCATCACTTGCCCATAATGTGGGCCATCACTCACAATGTAATAAAGTACATATGCCATGTCCCTTGTTGCTCAAGGATCTCATTTACCCCATTATTTGAGTTGCAGATTTTGCATTACTGTGTACAGGGCAGCCCTGTGCACAAGGCTCCCACCGATGCAGAGTCTGGGGAGGGACAGATGTATGCAGCATTTCCCCTGCACATACAGAGAGGCTGTTTCCAATTGCATTACTGTGTACAAGCTAATAAAAATTCATTGGAAAAGTTTTAATTTAGGCAGCACTCTACTGGATTATTGGTGTTTCAGATTGTTGCTTGTATTTTATCATACTTGCTAATGGATCCCATTCATGAGATGTATGTGTGTACACCATATCATCATCAATAGATTATGATTAGGCTGTTAAGATTTGGGTATTTTCGTTGTCTATTTAGAACATGTATAACCAACATTAGACTAATGGTGCATTTGGATTGTATGAATTAGAACTGAGATAGAAATTCAGATGCATGACTTTTTTTTTTGGTAGAAAGAGTCTTGCCATAGTAAGGTACCGTACCTAATGAATTGAGAACCAATCAATCAGTATTTTCATTCAAACTTTGATAGTTTTAGGTACAGTACCTTTTTCATAACATAGAAAGAGTCTTGCCATGGTAAGGTACGGTACCTAATGAATTGAGAACCAATCAATCAGTATTTTCATTCAAACTTTGATAGTTTTAGGTATAGTACCTTTTCATAACATAGAAATTGCTCTATATATTAGTACACCTATAACTTAAAAGTTTGTTTAGGTACATGAAAAATCATTTTAAGCCCAAGATTTGCTCTAGGTAGAAGAGTGAATATGTTCCAATAGCTAAGTCCATCAACAAAACGAGCTAGGAATTGTCGCCCATTAGTTATATATTGAGCTGATTGTTTCCCAACCAAATTATGAAGAAAAATAAAGAGAAAAGTAAGAAAGACTCTACCAAAGGTGTAGTGACCCAAAATGTAGGGTAATAGATTCACTTATAAATGAGGGAATGTGTTAGGAACCATCCTTACCCCTAAGAACAAGGTTACTTTGTCACTAGAATCTGATCAATTGAAGACAAAAGTGATGAGGAAAAGCAAAACAAGAAAAGTAAATCATATTGAGACGATTAATAAATAAAGTTAAAAATGATTAGAATACTACATATTATTAATAAAATGGATTATAAATGCATGATACTGTATATCATGAACATTGAAAGTTACTTGAAACTTGAGACAATAACTACTAAGTAAAAATACAAATTTGAACCAATTTAATTATAGACACAATATACTAGTCAGGAACTGTGCAATGCACAAGCATTCTTAAGCGAAATAGAAGTAGCATGAGCCCATGAAATTAAGGAACCTTATGATTAGGGGTGATCATTTACAGTCCAGCAATCCAGCTTGGGTCAGCCCAGAAATTCTGGGCTTGGGTCTGGGTTTATGATTATGATTATCATTATCATTATGATTATCATCATCATCATCATCATCATCATCATCATTATTATTATTATTATTATTATTTTCATCGTTGTTGTTGTTATTGTTGTTGTTTGCTTCAAGGGGCTACCTCCATCCCTAAAACCCATAACCCCCAACCCTGATAACAGTGGTAGTTGGTCCCAAATCTCCACTACAAACATCAAGAAAAACTATCAACTAAGCCACCATTAATTGGTAACCTAGCAATTCACGTGGGCTCCCCACACGGGTAAGTGTTTATGTAATTTTTATATTTGATGAGACCTGAAAAGTTATTTTATGAAAATAATATTAGGTATTTGTTTTGCATTTATCAAGCTTTCCTGATCCAACCTGAAGTTTCCAATTCAAAAAAAAAAAAAAAAACACTTTAGAAACTAGCTACCAACTCAATTATTACCGAATGCCAATGGGAAAAATCCAAACTCAACTCATGTTAACCACAAAATAAACTCCCTTCTACATGAATTCGTTACCAAATCACCCATTTCAGACGAAGTAACCAAAGCATAAATAAAACTCAACCAAGTAGTAGATAACCCAACCCCTTTTTCTAAAATTTCTCAAACAAAGCAGAAATCACGGTGTTCCAATCCTCTCATCAAATTCTGTAGAACAAATACAACATAAGTATGAGGAAGATTATTGGCTACCCAAGTATTCCTTTTTTTAGTCTGTGTACTTCTGATATTGAACCAATTTTCATTCATCATTCAATATAGAGAGTTGAAATGTTACAAAAGCTAAAACAGAATTTAAAAGACCAAAACTCAAGTCTTTGAAGAAAAATAAATAAATAGCACAATTAGAGAAATGAAAGTAAGGCTAAAACCTACAACAATGAAAAAGTTTAATTTGCTTCTTCAATGATGTACCCAATCCCATAAGCTCCTCATGTGGAACTTTTGCAACTTTTACCAACAAACAAAGCTCATCGACATCTTCCTTAGCATCCCTCTTCCGATCAATGAGAACTCGAACTCACCTTGTCGCACTCTGGATCCCTTATTGCTTTCTATGTAAACTTTTTGATTTCATGTATGGCTCTCAAGCTCTAGGAGCCATCTTGTAAGTGCATTGACATAAGAATTTGTAGAGATTGAAGGTGTACTCCCTACTGACGATCCCCTTTCATTTCTGTCATTGTTGTGGTAGCTTTCTCAAAACCTAAATCTGAAAAAGAAACTAAATTAGAAGTGAGGCTGCAAAAACCATAAAAAAACATAGAACATCCTCATCCTCTTTCGTGGATTGAATAATCACCATCGACACTTTGAAGAACTTTGTGTCTATGGATTGTACACATCTCACCTTCAGCACCTCGCCGTCAAGTGAGTCTTTAGCTTTCAAAACCCAGGTTATATAATCACTAGAGACACCTCAACAAACTTGGAAATAGAGGAATAAAGGGAAGGATAGGGAAGATGAGAGGACAGTAGAGATGAGAAAAAGAGATCGCATAGCTACTATTTTGTACATGTACAACTGCAATAATCCAAAGATCCTCATAAAGCTCTCTCATTCTACGCCGATTGAAAGAGAACTAACAGATAATTGCACCTGAAGCAAACCCCGAAGCATCTAGCTCTAGGCTTCATTTTGCACTTATTTCATAGTTTTCTGTTCAGTCATTAGAACATGCAAGAAGAAGAAGAAGAAGAAGAAGAAGAAGAAGAAGAAGAAGGATAAAGGAAAAGGAGGAATAAGAGGAGAAGAAATTGAGGACGAAGAAGAGAAGGGAATGAAACGTCATCGAAGAAATGCTCCATCCTAGAGAAAACCCTCGATCCAATAACTGAGAACACTAAATGACTGAAAGAACCTTATTGCTTTTTTAATTGTAATGTTGATTAAAGGGTAATAATGTATTTTACAATGAGAGACCATTCACCTACCTTCTTTTTGCAAGAGAATGGCTGATGTGGTACAAATATAATCAATGGTTGATAATGATTACTTTTTTATATTTTAAAACAAAAAATAGGAAAAATGTAAAAATTTGAGAAATTAGATAAATAACTTCTCTCAAATAATATGCATATTATATGAGATATAGTATTAAATATTATACTAGTATGAATTAAATAATATTTAAATAATAAATAACAGTTTAGAATCCAAAATTTGGAAGAATCTCACACTATTCAATAGAATTAAATAGATTCGATATTTAAGAATAAAATTATAGAGGAGATGAGCTAAAATATCTTAACTCCCCAAAATAATCAAACATACAACCAAAATAAGAAGAACAATTACAACTGAGCCCAAAAAACAAAACTTCTATTCACCCTTCCCTCCCTAAGCCACTTGGAAATAAATTTGTATTTCTCTTATCGAACTTCAATGTCTTTAGTAAGCCATTTAAATTTATTCTTTTCATTTTTTTGCCAAAGCCTAGAAATGTCTTGTTTTAACTAGTTCATTACAATCTTAGAATCTCCTTCTATGATCAGTTTATTGACATCTAAGTCTTTAGCCCATTATATCCCTTCCAAAGCTACTAGTATATCTGCCCTCAATGAATCTCCCACTCCAATTGGGCCAAAGAACAAGGCTAACAGTCCCCTTTTCATCCCTTAGTACTCTCCCTATACCCAAATGCCTTGGATTGCCCATGCTATTGCCATCAAAATTAAGTTTGATAAAATAGAGAGGTGGAGGGTTCCAATGGGAACTTGAGACCTTCCTAATTTAAGCTGAATTTGCAACTTACTTCCACTTTCTTAGCAAATCATCCACTAAGAATTCTGCAATCATATCCAAAGTTTTCATCCATTGAATTACCTTATATGAATCACCTCTAACACTGCCTCCATTCTTCTCTCCTCTTCTGAGAAAATCCTCAAGGCTATGTTTGGTTTGAAGGAAAAGGTAGGGAAATTGTAAAGGTTTCCCTACCTTTTCCTGTTTTTCCTTCAAACCAAACACAACCTAAATTTCTTTCTTCCCAAATAGTCCAACATATAACTGCCCTAACACATCTTCACATAATCCTTGTCCTTTTTGTTGGCCAATTGGAGAGAGGGGAAGTAAACAAGCTTTGCATATTCATTGGAGAATTCCACCTACACCCAAATAAAAAAGCAAATCATTCCCAAATAGAATTTGTAAATTGATAGGAAATTAGCAAGTGAACACTAGACTCACCCGTAGCTTTACAAAGGACACACCAATGAGGAGACAAACATCTATTAGGTATTTCTCTTTAAAGTAAATCACCTATATTAACTCCTTCCAGAAAGGATTCCCAACAGAAACTCCCAACCTTTGGAGGAATAGGTTCACACCACACCTCTTTGACAGGGAAAGACAAACCAAAAGAGACAACCGGTTGTGCTAGGGCTTCATAGAAAGAAGAAACAGTAAAGGAACCCAATGTTATCTTACCAGCTCAGAGCACAATAATTCTTGCAGTCGAGCGCCAATCTGCACCATCTTCTGGGGGTCAGTATCTAAGACTGGCACCTGGAAAGTGTCCTCAATGGGGTAACCTCTTTCTTCATTGTTCTTTAGAGGCGGCTCTAGGTCAACGTCCACGTCTTGCTTCCCTTTTTCCTTTCAGGGCCGCTATGTAGAATTTGCATGGCTCCAATTGATCATCGCACACCACTCCTACTCCACAGTCAATCAGGAACTTCATTGCCCGGTAGTAGGTGGACACTACAACTCTAAGCACGTACTGGATAGGTCAGCCTAGGATTGCATTATACGGCAAGGGGTCACCACCACTAGGAAGTCATGGTTGAAGCAGACTTTATTCGGTGTAGAACCCACTGTTACTAACAAATTACTTCGGCCAAGAGGTCATACCACCTCTCCACTGAAACCTACTAAGAG